GTGCATCCCCGTCAGTAGTATGTTGCATATGCAGAAATAAGACAACTACGCGAATGAACGAACGAACTGACGAACGAACAGCCAGTGTACACACACCGCCTGAAGCGTGCACATGCTAAACACCGACACAGTGCATTGTTCAGCGCCTCACAATGCAGCGCATGCGATTTCCTGAGCAAATGCCCGTCGCACGCTCAAGTGCTGTGCACGAGGATAGCCGTTGGTTAGCGATGCGCTGTGTCGACCGCTGGCGTAACCGCAATATCAACTGGTAAAGTGTTACGAACGCGTTTCGCTCACCCGACTAATCTCTCCATCGCCGTCGGAATCGTGTCTTCATTGGACTCCAGACCATGTGGCACACGGTCACACAGAGCCGAGGACGCAGCCGTTTTCAGCTCAACCCACCCGCCGAGCGCCGACCGTCGATCGGTGCCCGACACGAGTCCACACGTTCACCAACTATGTGGCGTTAGGTGTCATATCGTGGTCATTGTCAGCACTGCCGCGGACACAGTAGTGCACCACATGCGACCCGAGACGAGTGCGGCATTCGAGCGCGCAGATGAGCTCGCAAGCGCCGTTGCATGGTGTGGGTGTGGCTGCGTACGCATACAGCGGTCATAGCGTGTGGCGGTGATGGCGAAAAATATGGAACGCTTCACGATTTTGCGTGTCATCCTTGCGCAGGGGCCATGCTAATCTTCTCTGTATCGTTCCAATTTTAGTATATGTTCCGCCGAAGCGTGACTGAAATCGAATAGACTTTGATCCAAGCTACTGTGCCAATCTTTCGAAACACCGGAGTGGCAAAAATATCAGTCAACCTGAGGTTTACAATCAATTTTCTTGTCAATAGTTGGGCAGATTTTAAAGTATAAAATGGTTGGAGGATACAACAATTTAGTGATCTCCCTGGTATTTCAGTGCTAACGAAGAGCCGCTTAAAAATCTGTAGTTTGATCCAGGGAGTTACCGTAGACAAATGTGAGGAAAGCATTAGCAACTATCTTCTGCATGCTTTCACTTGGGAGATCACACTTTTGATCTATGAATCTAGTTACAGCAATAGAACTATTTACAGCCATTGTGTAGCATTGATAACCACAGAACAGTTGCTTAATGGGAAAATGACTAGTACTAGGTAAAGCACTGTGCTTCTGAGAGGATATGCCGCAGCCAGACACAGGTAGACAACCGCCACACATTCAGGAAAGCACCATATGGCTGTTTCGTCTTATTGGAACTCGTCAGTGGAGCGCATCCGCCGGATTCTGCCTGATGTGAACCTATGACCCTATTCCCACAACTCAGCGACTAAGGCCACTAAGCCATAGCTGACGGCGGCCGAGTAGGAAAATTGATTTCCAACTGCGATATGGTGCGGCTCATTCTCCACTGTCATAGATGGAATGAACATACAGAGAAAAGCGCTGGTCCCCAGGATTACGACTAATTCTGCAAACCGCCATCAATTAGGGTGGCATGTAAGCTGTCAAGGCATTGACTGCTGATTAGTAGGTAGTAGGGTGATTATTGAGTTGTTGAGTAAATTCGCCGCAAGTGGAATCGGTCAGACACCACGCATTCAGGAGAGCGATATACGGACGTCTGGCACTCAGGGCTCGTCAGTAGCGCGCATCCGCCGGATTAAAACCCATAACCTTAAACGTAAGCGTCAACAACCCTGGACATTGCAAAATGGGTACCGACGACAGCCCACTATGACTGATTTCTAAGTGCAACATAGCACAGGTCATCCTCTACTATTATCTTATGGAAGGCCGTCTAACGCTTTCCCGAATGTATGGTGGCTGTCTGGTTAGATTAAGCTGCAACAAATGTTCACATAACGTGACCAACATTACTGCCGTTACTGAGACTTCAGCGTGGTTATACACTGAGTCTTCATAACGAATGGTACGGTGTAAACAGTTGGTGCTTATGTAAGATTATTTGGTCATGGTTTACGATTGTATCCGCGATAAGTCATATTCATGGTGTTCGAATCACACAAAATTCACAGGAGCTTCTCTCACTGATCCGAAGCATCATCTCGTGGAATGTGTCGTACTAAAATTACCACGCATTATGATAACGTGTAAATGAAGTGCCAAAAGGTGCACGATGATGACCAAAGCAACAACCGTCTACTTTAATAAAAACGCATATTTCATGCGGACGCTTGTAAAAATTGTAGGTATGTGGTCGTTAGGTGGATTTGAAATTTTGTGCAAATATATTATCTTCGCTTCCAGGTTTAAATCAGTAAAGCGTTAAAGTAGGAAGCGACAGATCGCTCTGAGTAACTACATGATGGTAATGAAAAATTAATGTATCCATTGCACCGTATATTGGTAATACGCAGGAGTATGCTTACTAAGAATATTTCCTTATATCGAAATAGATTGTCAAGTAAAGTACCCGACCAACGAACAAGTTAACAATAAGCACACTGGTAACGAGTATCAAATAGCTAAGGTGTATAAAAGAGAAAAAAGCAAACGAGGCTGTTGTAAAACTTGGTGCATCGCACAGCTAAAAATAATATAATCACTGAGTGACCTTTCGGGAGTGATTTGGTCCGGAGGAAGACAAGTAATTGTATGCCATTTGGTATCTTAAAGTAACTATTCTGCTCAAGCTGGAGTCAGTGACTATACCCAAGAGCTGAGCATTCGGAACTAAATACCACTTTATCTGCAATAATTATTCATTTACCATTATCATATATAATCTCATAATGTTTATTTAGGTGTTTAAAGATAACCCGATGTAAATATAAAAATCTTAAATCTATACCAAACTATACTAAATCAATTTATTATCTATAATTACACCTTAACATATATCAATTCTCACATCCTATAAACCTAAACATCCTTAAACTAACTAGACTTATTTAATAATTACTTTATCCACCTATACAAATGGATATAGAAATACTACCATCCCCCATCTTAAATCTAAACTTTATTTTCTTTCCAATCAATTTCTCCACTACTTCCATAACACAAAAATACCAAACACCCAAAACAAATACAAATAATCCACCCTCCTTCATCCAACAACTCAACACTACCTCCCCTTCCTATCCTCCTTACTCAAACCCCACAACACAATAAATAACCCACAAAACTAAAATCAACATAACTCCTCATATCACACTACCTCATAATACCTTCGCCACACAAAGAATTCTTTATCAACATCCAGCCCTAACACAGTTAACTTTACCTTATTAAAAACCAACATTCCCTGTATACAAAAAATACCTATTTTAAACCCCCGAGGCATCCCTATACATGCGTAATTTTCCCCACTTAATTCAAAATCTTCGTCTCATAGAACTGGCCCAGTTTTTATCAGTAGTATAACAAACCCGGTACAAAGACGTAATACCCACCAAACCATATATACGCGGCACCCCGGAATAACGTACCCCTGAAAAACTCCACATTGTGCCTTTTGCGGCTGCACAAATAGCTGGAGATGCGTTACTTTCGTCGATTATTTCGAAATATGTGAATAGATATGCAGCAAACGCCACCACATTTGGTAAAGTGACATCTTCAAATGAACGACAATTCTTAGGGGGCGAGCAAATCTCCTGTTACAAATTCCACCTAGGTGTATGCATAAGTCAAATTCAATTAACCAGTGGATTAAACTGCGCAAATGCACAGAAGTAGGAATTGAAAATGAAGAAGAATAACTGTGCAAATTGTTTTACGAGTAGTTGAGTTTTCCTTTTAGTTGCGCTAATTAGCCTGGTTGCAGTGGTAGAATATATAGGGGATAATACTACAAAGCTTGGATAGGTAAATAGGTTCATTGTTGTACAAACAGAATTGAGTGCACCCATTACGACTGCGTCCTAGTGCCATTATCCGAAGGATGAAGTTGGAGCGATGTGTTAAAGCCCGCTACATGGTTTTGTCGAACGAGTTGTCATTGTCGGAGTAGTGGGGTCCATTGTGGAACGGAGACAGTCACGAACTGAGATATTTGATCATTTTCCATTGCTTAAGCTTTTATGCTGTACTATTAGGACTGCTTCCCTTGGATGAGCAATAATGGAATTTAGATACCACAGCTAATTAGCTCGTTGCTAAGATAAATGCGCAGGCGTCTGCAGACCACGTTCATGTACTGACGCTTTCGAAGCTTATTGATGCTATCAACGGCAAATCTTCAAAGAGTCTCTTCAATTTCAAATCAGTGATGTTGTCTTGCACATGTATTCAAACCACATTATATACCTTGTGAAATGTGTAATTTTTAATCATTAAAAAGTGGGCAGTACATACACCTAGGTCGAGGGGCCGTCGATCAGCATGAAAGCACTGAGAACTCCCTGTAATCCTTGATTTTTAAGTTTCTCTAACAAGAGAGGTACTTCTAAGCTGCATCTGTTCCGCCTGATAAAATGCTCATTTAAAAATATTTATCAAGTCCTCAAGATATACCGTTGAGTATTTTGGCACCGCAGAAAATATCAACCCATAGTGCTTTGCCTGGCTTCGTAGGTTGGAGTAGAGTAATTGCTAATCACTGGAAATCGCTAAGAGCAAATTCTTTGCTCAGAAGCTACCTGAATTGTCATACACTTTCCACTAGCCTTACAAACCCAAGTATTTTTTCCACAGACTAACTTTTTCGAGTACTTCAATTTAGTATTTATAGTACTTGGAGTACAATACACCGTTCGCAAGCTTACTCAGAAAGCTGATTAGGTACAGGAAGTTCAGCGTAGTTGTAAAATGGAAGAATTTGGTGCACTGCGCATTTCGTAACTTATCTCCTGCTTCGTATCCAATGGATGGTGAATGTGGGTGCATTAATTATATATCTACAGCTCTTGGGCTTTTATAAGCGTCTGCTTGATTTTTCTGCTAAAACAACCAGGTAGAATAACACGTGCATCTCTTAATCCTTTGGCTTTTCTCCTAGACCAACAGCCGCCGACTGACTTACTGTCTCCTACTGAACTGGAAAAGTACGAGCAAAGTTTATCGTTTCATCCCGTCCAGATGTTTCACAATGAAAAGCTGCAGCATCGCACTGTTAGACGGAAACGCCAACATGGATGGAGCTCCAGGAGGCGGATGCGAAGCTTTCCACAAAGTGCTTACCATTTTCAGATGGGGGAACGCAAAGCCAACTCACGTCGCATGCGATCGTCCGGAGATTTAGATGGAAAATTGCAAACATCTCATCGATCTGCATTTTCGGAGCCGGAGATTTCCATACATCGATTGCTAATTCGTCCGGCAATCGTAGAATTGGACGAAGGTACAATTAGGGCACGGCTGAGATATGTGATACAACTGCACAAGAAGATGACTGGATATTATCGACTAATCTTGGAAGCACGCATCACTCCGGACTTTCCACCCATATATGTCGGGTAAGTAGCTGATATTTCTTCGGTGCGTATTTTTACAGGTAGCCTGCAGTGCGCAGTGTCGCTACTTCAAAAAGTGTACAAGATAGTAGTTTTTAGATGACCATTCTCATCAAGCACAAACATACAACTATGATAAATAACAAACACATTGCAGTAGGAGATCACAGATGACCAAGCGCTCACGACACTAGGATATTTCGTTAAGGCAGAGAGAAGACAGAGGTTGCGATATGTTAACATTTCGATTGTTCTCCTCAGTCGCAAACACAATACGATCAGAAACATACAAGGGATTATATACATGGGGAAAAAAAGGCACCACCAATCAAAATGTCACAGTCAAGACCATGGCAACCGAATGGATTGCCTCAAGAGTTTCTGTGCACATAGCACAGGTTGATAAGCCTTAATTAACAACGCCTCACTAATTGCTAGCATTATCGGGTTTTTGTTACGTAATAACACTTTGAACGCTGTCTCGGGGTTTACGTAATGACGGGTTGTCATGAGGTGCTTGGTGATAGACGATGCCGGGCTCCGATTGATTCTCAGATTCGTCCCATTTTGTTGCGTAATCACTTGTCCCAACCACTTAGGCAAGTGTTCAGCTACCCTCTGAGCTAACTGACGGTTTGTTCTGCCTATGTAAATGTCACCGCAACCGCAGGTGAAATGATAAACAACGTGAGAGGCCGAACTACCCGACGAGATGCTCTGACGGTTATGAAGAACAAGTGCTCGCGTGATATGCCTGAGTCGCAACTGGGCTGTTGTGTAGGTTCGCGTTAGGGCGGACCGGAGCTTGCGTCCGATGTCATTTGCCACATGGTCCCCCTTGAACGGCAAGAACAAATAAACATTCTTTTTCTCAGCCGTCAACACCGGTGTTTTCACACTGGGAGGTCTGCTGTGTACCTGAATAAACTTCTCAGGATATCCATTAGAAATTAATGTCTTGCGTAGAAATTCTTCTTCGGCTTGTAACGTTTCGGGGCTACAAATACGCCTAGCCCGGTAGAATAGAGTTCTCACTAACCCGCGTTTGTATGTGATCGGGGCGAAGCTTGAAAAATGAAGGTACTGTCCAGTCCAAGTCGATTTTCGGTGAACAGTGCGCTGCAACGTACCTTCAGCCTGTCGCTTAATGAGTATATCCAAAAAAGCCAGGCAGTGGTGTTTTTCCACTTCATGGGATACGGACAGATTAGGGTGAATCGAATTTAGGATGGTCAGCAGCCGATTAAAATGTTCTCCGCTGGTGAAGACTAAAATGTCATCCACATATCATCTGTACAATTTCGCTTCACCAATGCTCTCAGCAACTTGTCTTTCTATCAGGCCGAGGAAGATGTCGGCTAAAACTGGTCCCAGCGGGCTGCCCATAGCGACCCCGTCGATCTGTTTGTATGCGGTCCCCTCAAATTCAAACCGTATGTTTTCGGTGCACAATAGAATCATATCCTTTAAATACTCCACTGGCAGGCCAACAGAGATATGTTGACTCAGGATAAAATCACATAAATTATCAACCGTCTCTCTCATGACAACCCGTCATTACGTAAACCCCGAGACAGCGTTCAAAGTGTTATTACGTAACAAAAACCCGATAATGCTAGCAATTAGTGAGGCGTTGTTAATTAAGGCTTATCAACCTGTGCTATGTGCACAGAAACTCTTGAGGCAATCCATTCGGTTGCCATGGTCTTGACTGTGACATTTTGATTGGTGGTGCCTTTTTTTCCCCATGTATATAATCCCTTGTATGTTTCTGATCGTATTGTGTTTGCGACTGAGGAGAACAATCGAAATGTTAACATATCGCAACCTCTGTCTTCTCTCTGCCTTAACGAAATGGCTTAAGGGGACCCATTGTTTTACTTTTCTGAAAAGAAGACACTAGGATAGGCTTAGAGCCATTGCCAGCTGCTCTTGAACGTACAGCGGTGGTTGTTCGCCATGTCCACGGATAACCCAAGCATGTGAAGCCACTGGTCGCGCATTCGGACAACTCATTAGGACCAACTTGGTGGCCGGCGGTTGGTTAGTGCTTTGTGGCCGCCTAGGTAACTCGGTTTCCCGACCCAACTTATCCCGCCTTCACAGATTACGTCAGGTTGCATAACCACTTAGGGATACGTTCATTGGTTCTGATAGCTAGACTTCAGTCAGTGCACTCAAAGTAACCTTGTATACAGCCACAAGTAATACATCGAGTTCCATGCAACTGACTGCATTGCTTTCACATAAAGCAGACTAGAAAATTATTCAACTATGAACCACATTTGGCCTTTTGATGGATCACCGAACAAGCTTGTTTTCGCTGCACCAACTCTAAGTAACAAAAATTTTTGCGAGCTTATCTGCTCTGTGTAATTCCTTTAACTCGCAAGTTTATACCTGGATTAGGTTCCGGATATCTTGGCAATTAGCAAGGTGAACACCACCACCTTTTTAGCTCATACACTCTTACTGCGGGTTCAGCTATAATTTAGTAACTATCTATACTACTTTTATCGGTTAGTAACAATTTTATGAAGCAAAATGCACTGCTTCATCCAGTGCTCAGATGTGTGGGGCCAACTTTCACCGATTATATCGTATCATGTGTGACGGCGTAGCTATTTACGGACAGAATCGATAAGTCACTGAATCTCGAATAATGTGACAAGTAGCGGAATGTGTCCAGAAACAAGTCATCCAAAACCTTCATTCCTCCACATCCATCCACCAACTTCTTTGATAAGCAAGCGACAACTGGTCTCTGCTCATCTGATAGAGCTCGCCTCAGCATTCCTATTGTAGCGAGAAGGACGTGGGAGGTGGGGACAGAGCGTGGATTGTCAAACAATTAGCAAATGACAACTTACAAACGCGTACATCTGTGGACCGTGTTACCTTCCCATTACGCACCACGGATGAGGATTTGTGAGATGCGTCTTTCCATGCGCCTTGGAGTTTGCGCTTCGGAACAACCCCACCAGGTTTGCATCCCGTATCTCCGCTTCGTTATATGCGATTCTGGCCACCTAGGAGTCCTTCGAAGGCTCGCGAGCTGCTTTTCCGTGGCTGCATCACTCGACCTGCGTTCAGTCTTATGAGAATCGCTAGCGGCGTATTTGTCTGATTCGCAACGTTCGCGACAAATACCTCCTCCGTTGTTCTGGGCCCAGGCTCATTACCAGATGACGCTCGTGATTCGCCGTCCGCTAGATCCGCAAGACTCGCAATGCCTTGTCTGGTCTCATCCATTGCGCCTGTTTGGAATTTCCTATTATCCCGTTTTCGTTGTCTTTCCTGTCCACTAGTAGTCCTTGGCTTCTACCACCCTGCAATATTTCTGTTTCGTCACGATAGTCATCTGCTTGGGCTTGCTGAAGAGACTGCATAGAACGGATGCATCCAGCCTGTGCGTTCATGGACAAACATTCCACCACCCAATGCTACCATGAACACAGAACAGTGCTTCTTAAATGTTTTGAGGCTATTACCCATTAAAACGAGTCTACTATAAACAAATACGCCGAAACGATCTTAATGCGAAAATTACATCATCCATTGCACTTTTGAGTTAGTCCATATTAAATAAAAGTTCTGATTAAGTTTAATCAACCAAACAAAGGAAACGCCTACTTTTGAGCACTTTTTAGTCCGAAATCAAAAGGTAAAGCAAATTAATGATAAGCTTGCTGGTCTAGTTTTAGTAATTTTCTGAGTTGTCACTGATGGCTAAGCCTTACTAACTAGGTGATTATTTAGGTGGTTTGGTACGGATGCTCTTGGTAACAATTTTGTTTTGTGACTGAGTGATGATTCAATCGTTGTGCATATATGTGCTTCTCGTAAGCTCCCATTTTATCCCCTTGTGGGGGGGGATTATCCACATGCTGGGTATCACTGAATAAGGCCTGAAATTCCGCCATGCAATCTAACCTCAAGCTTGTATGGTTTCATGCAATATTTTTCTGGTGTATGTATTTTGGTATCATAAGACAATATGAAATGATTGTATCCTCCATCTCAGTTTTCCTTGACATACTTTTCAAGTCTCGAGAACAAGACCATTTGGTGAGCAAGTGCTTTTAATGATTCCTCTGCAGACCATTACAATCAAATATAGGTGTTTACTGGGCTGTTTGAAAAAGCAGCTTGGGGCTTCAACTGGCTTAGCGACTTTGTTAGAGAAGCACGCTTCCGCTGTACACAGATGGTAATAACTGACTCCGCATAAGCAAAAAAACATGTTCTGTACAGCTAACTCCACCGTTACCAAGTCTCTCTGTGCTAAACCTTTTCAAATCCAGTAATCTTGGACGGTCCCGTGTAACGTTGATTAGGTGTGTGCTGTCTAAGCTTGTTGCTATTGGGATAAACCGGATCACGGTGCAATTGCTTCCAAACTCTGGTAGGATATTCATTATGCTCAATACAATCAGTGAACAATGGTACACAGGCTTTGACTTCAGCAAGCTTGTTGGAGAACCAGAGGAACTTATTGAGCTTTTTTACCACGGATGATTGTAGTTGCCAGAAAATCAATCGTTGAAAGTAGTTGCTCAACAAATAACCTTGTTGTTCTCGAAATTTAAATGGGTATGTTAATGTTAATTTCCAAATCTTTGAGGGAAAATATTGCCTTAATATGGTTACTTTGGGATCATCGGAGATGCTGTTTCTTGGCTGCTATGCCTGAGAAGGTAGAGGTGCTTCGCAACAACATGCACTCGAAGCACAAGTTCATAAATAGGCAACAGGGAGAGAACTATTCACAGCAATCGGGTAGTTAAATAGTCACTCACACTGCACCAACCATACAACAACAACTGCAATCATTCTATTGTAGGACAGATAAACTGCATAGCAAGTCAGCGAACCCCAGCTGAGAAGATCGTCAAGCCAGTTATCCAGTCTGCTCCTGGCCATACATCTGTAACATCTAGGTTTGTATTCGCAACCCGTTGCAACAGGACGTGGATGTTGTGCTGATCAATGCTTGTCTCTCCTTCGAAAAGAGGATGAGTGAACAATTTACCTTAATGATATTCGAACGGAGTTTCAGATAGAAATGTCGCGTTATTTTATACTTTACACATGCAGGAAAGTACAAAACGTATGTGCACATTGGCCTGCCAACACAGCTCACTCAGGATGCGATGCACGGATTCCACGCTTCTACCAGAATGGCCATGTCTGCTTCTGTCATATGTCTCCCGGTGTGTATCAACAACGCCTTCGCCTCAATATGCCCAACGTTTTGGATGGTCTGGAGGTGCCGAGGTTTCTGGTAAATATATTATTCAGCGAAAAGGTGGGTAAACAAGATTTTATACAACAGTAAAGGTTGTTCATAGTGCTAGGTGCATACGTTCGTGATCGCTAACGAATTGTCAGCCTTCTCGCGAATTCGTTTGTTTGAAAGCGTAATAGTAGTTACAAATTCTTGGAAGATATTTGGAACCGATCGAATAGTCCTGAGTTCAGATAGTTTTGGAAACAATCGGTTGTAGTTCGGTAACTTTTCGACCCTGACACAAGGGCTTCGTCAGACCAGGTGAATCAGTGTGCAATTGGAGTGAGATTTTATAGCAAATTATATGTAAATTATTTCAACCTGTTCCTTGCTAACTAACCGTGTGGAGATGGAAATCGTAGCTGAAAAACTTTCGCTTATTTACGGTACCGTTTTCAACTGGAGTGGTCGGATCAAGCTATCCATCTGGCTACCGACGAGTATTATTGCCAACTGTTAAATAGAAGGCTAGGAAATAGCGGAACGAAGGTTTTCTACTATATGTAGCATGACTCCTTATACGGCCGAAGAACAACACCGGTTCGACACATGCTGGGTGCCATGCGATGGATTATTTTGTGGTACATGTGGTGTTCACGGGTCAAACAAACTGATTCGTCACACGTTTTAACATTCTGCGTCTATTACCTGATGGCTGCGTGAGATACTAATGAAAGTTAATAGTTTATACCCTAGTGCGAGGAGAACGAGCGTTACAACCAAGGAAGCAAACGCAATTACGATAAACATATCGATTGCATCCAGTCTATCCAGGCACATTATTTGAAAGATAAACGTAATCCTAATTTTGTAGAAATTAGAAGTCACGATTAAAATGCACGCACAATAATGTGCCTCGACGGGGAATCGAACCCCGGTCCACGAATTTCCGGTCCGCTGCTCTACCACTGAGCTACCGAGGGCTGACGATTAGGTGCGGAAATTTTAACACATGAGTGCTGCTTGGTGCGCGACGTATTGCCAATGAGGTCACAGTACCTGTCCTGGTGTTGCAGATTGGCTCACTCACCCGTCACTTTCCAATGGAGCAAAGTACCTGTCCTTCGGATGTCCAATGGGCGATGGCAGACTAATTTTGGATGTGTGTGAGTAGTGTAAAGTTTGTAATCATAATTGTTATATATGCCAGAAACGTTTGATCATCAAAAACAACCTTCCGATGCTAATTTTTCACTACAGGTATTTGACATATACCTGACCCTGAGACTTGAAAAATCCAAAGGTGAACTTGCCGGATGTGTTCAAGTCAAAATCCCTCTCTCCTTGTCTTCAACGTGAAGTTACTATCCATTTGCAACCGCATGGACTGTAAGGCTCTTATAGTTGCCATGACGGATGCAATGTGTTCCTAACAGGTGGTCGTACATCATTGTCGGTGAAGAAGCAGCGAACATTTG